TTGTGTTCAGGAGGTGCCTGGTTCAAGTCTTGGCCAGGGTACTGTCTTTGACAGGTTTTTTGTGGATTTCTTTTATCCCTCCAGAAAAATGCTTTGACAGCACCTCATACTAGACTGTAAACATTATTTCTGCAGCCCTTCCAATTCATAATTTTTTAGTCATAATATTATCAAAGCTATACAGTCTGAGCAACTGATGTCATTAATTAAACCACAAATGAAGATGCATAGCCATACGTATATTTTCACAAGGCATGAATAATAATTGCTTTAAAGCAATATGACATTTTTGGTGCGTCATCATTGACTTAAAACAGCAATTAGACAGACTTAAAAAATTTACCTTATTTGTAAATATGCAGTATTACTTCCCATAAGAAAGTTTTATTTTGGATGAGAGAATGATACTGTGGAGAGGTCACTTGGAATTTAAAACACAATCCAAGCAGAATTGTGAGGTGTGGTTTATTGGTCAGGATGCTGTCTAGGAGTTGCTGTATTTGCAGTGTGTAAACTAATGCTAAGGATGGAAGGATCCTGTTCATATGGACCTGTCGTCAGACAGAACACTAAATAAATAAAAAGAAACTGATGTTGCAGAAGGTAAAACTCTGGAAGTTTGTATCATCTCAGTTAGCAATAGTTCAGAATAGCACTACCATTTGTACCAGGACAGTGAATTAACACACCCAACTTTTCAGTTAATGAGCCACCAAAATTCACAATGGTTTCTAGAGTGGACCTTCAGTGTTTAAAAATCACTTATTGCGGTCCTTGGATTAGTGGCACCATCCTGGATATGACATGGCAATTCCACTGTGGTGTAGATAATATGTAAGTACTTAAACATTGGCAAATTATAATTGCCTACATTTTTATCATCATTTATTTTATGTTGCACAGTTGGTGTTGAAAGAGGAGGCAGTAGAACAAGATCAAGGATCAGAATTGGCCAAGAGTCTTAGTCGAGTAGAGGCTGTGTTGGCTGATGATGATAGAGGGGGAAGTGAGGATGAGGAAGAGTCAGAGAGTGAGGATGAAGGTTCAAACAGTGAGGACAGTGGTGATGATGATGATGACGATGGTGGTGGTGGTGAGGCCCCTAGTAAGGAAGAAGCTGAGTCAGATGAAGAGCCATATGAACCTTTGGAACCAACAACGTTTGTTAATGTGTCTCTGGCGGGAAGTGATGAAGCTGGACCTTCAGGAATACAACAGCAGCAACAACAACAGCAACAAAGTCAGCAGCAAAGCCAGTCATCACAGCTTGTTCAGCAGTCATCACAATCACAGTTCCTCACTCCGGGAGCACCGTCCACAAGTACAGCTGCTGCACCTGCTTCAGCCAGTGGGTGAGTACCAGACTTTGTTTTCTTTAAAGTGGATTCACATGTATTCTGCGGCCTGTAGTGCATCACTGTACTTCTCATGTGCTGCCTACTTCACAAGCAATCAAGAGCCCTAGTCTTGGTAAGGGTGTGCAAGTACAATACAGTTCAAAATTGTTTAATTACTTCTTTGTTATCATTGGTTAGTATTATTTATTTGAGGATAAGCTTTGTTATTGTGAGTGCAGATTTTGTTACAACAGCTGATGTTATCAAGAACTTTGATTTGGATGCTCTGCTTAGCCTGCGTAAATGGTGGGACGGTTGTTTGAAAAAACTGGCAGATCTTTACTTTGAGAAGCAGTAAATAAGTAAATAAAAGCACAGCACATGGTAGAGTGAAAAATTATCACTGGGATTTCCCAAGCATAACAGTCATTTTGTCAGTTTCTAATACTCTGTACAGTTACCACTCAATTGTACAATACTAAATAAGGAAAATTAAACACTTTTGTCTTTGTATAATGAGTCTTTAAATCCTGATAATACACAAGCAGAGAAATTGAGGAAAGTGATGTGCTTTTAATCTGTTTTGTGTTGTTATGGTCTCATTTCTAGAAGCCTAAGGAGGTTGAGATGAGTGGGTAAAGTAGCACAAAAGGGGGAGATAAATGGGTACAAAACTGTGGTTAGGAAGCCTGCAGGGAATAAGAAACACAAGATCCAGGCATAGGTGGAAAGAACTTGGGGGCTATTGGCTGGCTGTTGTGAACATGGTAATAACATTTGGGTTCCATAAAACGTATGAATTTCTTGGCTAGCTGTGTGACTACCAGCTTCTCTAGGACCATGCTGCATGTGGTTAATGTTAATAGAGTGGTTGTTTTTTGTATTACTGAATATTTTAATTCTCCATGCAGTTCCAACTTAAAGGTAATAAATATTTTATTTACAAATTTAGTGTTATGTAAATTTAATTGTAACAAACTGAAACTGATTGTCTTGGGTATGCTTGTGAAATTGTTCAAGTCAGGCTCCCTGTGATAGTATATTCATTTGCTAGCCCTACATTCTATAAACTGACATGAAAAATAAAAAGAATTTAGGAGATTGATATCGAAGTGCATTGTAGTGTGAAAATGGGAATGTTGTTTACAGTTGTCTGTTTTCATATGAAACATGTGAATTTTCATGTGTAATTTAAGCACTTAAATGGTGCAGTCTAGTGGTTAGGTAAGGAAGCTTCCGAATTTTGTCCCAAAGACATGCTGTCTTGATGAAGGTTTCATTGTTTTCCTTAGTCCCTCCAGGCATATACCAGGATAGTACCTTAACTCTTTCATTGCTTTTTTTCACCTGCTTGGTTTATTCCTCAGCCTCTGGTAGACGATTTGTGACAACAATGTATTGATTATATACTTTTTTTGTTTATGTCTATTTAAATGACATCAGCTTAAAGAATTATTATAATATGAAAATGGATATTAAGGAAATAAGAATTGGGAGGTGTGGATTGGATTCATTTGGCTCAGGATAGGGACGTGTTACGGACTTCTGTTAACGTGGTAATAAAATTGTTTGGGTTCTGTAAAATATGGTAATTTCTTGACTAGCTGAGCAAACCATTATTTTCTCAAGGAGGACTCTGCTTCATGGATTTACTTGGTTAGTTATTTATGTCCATTATGAAATTTTAGCAGTTCTTTATGTTGCACAAAAATGAACTAAGTGAATTATTAGAAAAATTATTCAAACTAGTCTACATTCCCATCTTTTAACAGTGGTCTTGAATCAAATCTGGTAGAAAATTTATGGTAGATAATGTATTTACAAAGTATTCCACTCTTGGTTTTGTCTTGAAAAGAAATTAAACACTGAATGGAAAGTGAATGTGCAGAATATGCATGTATCACCTTGAAAGAATCTAGTGCATGTATCTCTGCTATTGTTTAGTCACTTTGAAAGGAAGGTACATATTTACAAATCAGTAACAAATACTAATGTTTGAGTTTATTGTAGTTGCAGAAACAAGGGTGAAAGTTGTGTGATTCTTTATTTTTTCTGTAGATTACATTTGACTGCATTTTTATTTTGTCGGTGGTACTGGTGAAGGATGGTGGGTGAATCAGTTGTAGGTCTGCCCCCACTTCCCTTCCATTTTTATATGTGGGATTTCTCAGGCAGTTGTTTATCTACTTTCATTTTCAAATAAAACTGCTAGTTGTATGCATTTTCTTGTCTACTAAATCAGTCAGTGATGTGGAAGGCAACCTTTCTATAGCATTTGGTGCATTTTCTTGTGCAACCAAGAGAGCTGTGCATGATATGGTAATTTAATGGAGAGTTGATTTTTTTCCATAGTATCACACAGTGTTGTCAACATAAACCTTTTTCATTATGTCATTTTATTGCTATCTTAAAGAGTGAATGGTATCAATTTCAAGCTTTTTAAGTTTTCCAATGATCACATCTCTTTCCTTATTCTTCATAATACAGCAAACATTTGGCTTGCAACTGTGGAATACATAGAGAGGGGGCGGCTGTACCCTTTGTCCAGCAGTATCTGTTTGTGCAAGAGTGATTACCAGTAATATAAATGTCTTTAGCACTGTAAACTGTGAATTTCAATATGTAATGAGACTCAGCATCAGAAAACAGGTTTTATGTCATAGTGGTATCTTTGAGGGAATAAGCTGTTTGAATTTCAGTTTCCTTTCAAAGGAAATGGTGCTTTCATCAATATGGAGGTTTTAGAATGGTGACAGTTCTTGTTGAAACGTGGATCGTGCATGCTCAAGGAGATGTTCAGGGTAGTAAAGATACTTTTCTTTGGAGATGGCTGTCTTCTGGATTGTTGTGCCATGTAGTCTGGTAGTAGTTCACCGTTTCAGAGATCCTTGTTGCCTCCATTATCACCCTGACGGGAGGCAGCAAAGACCTCTTAAATGTCAGCAGACTCTACCAGACTACGCAGTGCAACATCCCAGAAGGCAGCCATGTTCAGACTCGCGACCCTGAAAACCCCAGATCCTAATTGTTCTCTTTCATTGAAATGCAATCTACTGAGTTGATTCATGTCAGTTTTGAGACAGACATCATCCAGATAGTCACTGAGAAAAGAAGTTCAACTCTGAATCATTGGTCATTTGTGTCATTTACTCTTTTGTTGTCTTCATCAATTGTGTACTTGTTAGGCAGCTTGTGTGCCTTGACCTCTTTTTGCACACTGTGTGGTTCTGTGGTGCTCTATCATCTACAATTCATCCACACCCAGAATCAGCATCACTTTGAGCATTCCTAATCATCACTTTACTAAAAACATATTTATCTCTTTCATCACTTAGTAATTCTGCTTTCTCATTGAAATGCATAAGGACTTCTTAAATTACTTACACCAGTTTGTGGCATGAAATGGAGGCAGCCGTATTTGCAGTGACTGAAGAGAACATGTTCCGTGCAATATTTGTATTTGTCTCGGTTTTCACTGTATCGTTCCTTTTGTGTTCTTTGAAAGTTGTGTCACAGAATTCAAATTATTTCGTAACCTGCAAGTTTATGGGGTTGCCATGTGGGACAGAACGTGAATCTGCAAATGCATTTAGTTCTTGCAAACAGTTCACTTGCTTCACTATGTAATTTTATGGAGTTGGTGTATAAGTGGTTAAATGAGATTATGCTTCCTTTTACATCCTGAAGAAATATAGATTTTTCTGTGAGAAATGTCTATTGTGTGATAAACTGCATGGGGTTGTGAAGTGGTAATTGACAACTTTCACATATTCAGAGTTGTGCTTTTGTTTATGCTTGATGTTTCGATTTTGTGAGTGGACAGAAGAATGTGCTATGTGGTTCTTTCTTGATATTGAGTGACTTAAAAGTCATTAAATCTGTAGTTTTTGTTTCAAAACTGTATTTAGCCAATGACACATTGGCATACCTATTGTTACTGTGACTACAGGGTGGGTTGAATTGGTTACTTTGGCTGTTGCGTAATGCTACTTGGTGAAAGTTGAGTTTACTTTGATGACAGTTGTCACTCATAATTTTATGTATAAATTGTTATTACACAAAATCAGGTAATATGCCAGTAAATTAAGACTTCAGATCTTGTGAATGTTTAGTTTGTGATTTGTGTTTTTTTGTTGAAAAAGTTGGCAGTACTTTCAGGAGAGTTGGAATTTTTTTTAAAGAAAAGATGTTGGTACTGTGTACCAGTGCATAGCACCATAAGGAAAGCTCTGATTATGACTATATCATATTTTTTCTTCACTCCTCACCTGTTTGAGTTGATGTGTGATTAACTGTAGAAAACCAGAGTGCGGTATGAGATGTAGTTGTTTTGTCTAGGGGGGGATTTTTCTTTGGTCACTTTCTCTACAATGTAGACATTTGGTTTATGTGATCAGTTTTGTTTTAGAACTGCATCTAAGTGATATGTTATTGGCTGCACACTTGTCATTTAACAGTTCAGATTTGCCCATTCCTGTCTCATAACTTAGAAAACAAGTTCTAATTTCTGTTGGTGGTGGTAGCATTGTTTGACAGCATAATTATTAGACAAGGCAGGAAATGTACTATAATAATTCTGGCCTAGTTAAAAGAACTTGATCTTTGATCTCTGCATATAGTCCAGTGACTTGAGTAGTCTGGGTGATGTAACCATGTTATCCATAGTAACTATGATACCAAGACCAAAGTAACTGTGGTCATTATGGTAACCTTGCGGTTCCTCGACCATTTATTTCCTTGGACAGATATGCATGTAGTTCTTCATGTAAAATACCAATTATTGTCCAGTTTGAAGCATAATTTGAATGTGTTATCAAATGTGTGATTGTATTAGTATTTACATTAATTAGGTCAAGCAGGTTAGGATAGTTTGCTTTTGGGCAGGTACAGGCGGAGCCCAAAGTTTGCTCTGGAAACCTCATTGAAAGGTGCATTTGGTATGATAATTGGTGCATAATACATTGCATTTTGTAGTAGATGAATCCTAGTTCCTTTCATTCTTTAAATTTAATGGA